CCCACAAAACGGAAGCTCAGTGTCATCAGCGTGCTTCCTGAATGCTCTCAGGGGACCTGCCCTGACTTCCATGCCTGCCAGAAGATGGTAAAGCACATCCTCTCCAGAGTGAGACAACTCCAGGCAAAGTCTCCACAAAAAAATGACTGCCACTGGAAAACAACAAAACACCAATGATGAGGCCACCAAACAACAAGACTCAACAACCCCAAACCAAACGTGAGGGACCAGACCACTCACACAGACCTACAAAAGACACAGATACTGCAATTATCACATAATTCTGTGTAACTTTGTGATGAATATGTTTAAGAAATTAGATGACAAAATAATTTCAGCAGTAAACTTGAAATTATAAAAGAATGAAAACTCTAGAATCAAAAACAAACCAGGATGAAAATTCGAAACTCAAATATAAGAAATACAGGTCTAACGACAGATTAGGAAGAGCTGAAAGGATGATTAGTAACTTGAAAGGCAGTTTAGAAGAACACATCTAGGCTGATGCACACTCAAGAACAAAAAAACAAAAACAAAAACAAAAAAACAGGATGAGAAATACAGAAAGGAGCAGATGCATGAAGAACATGGTGCATGGTGAAAAGGACCAACATATGACCGACTGGAACCAGAAAGAGCAGAGAGAAAACATGGCAAGAGGAATACAGACACACTGTGGGAGGTAAAGACAGACAGAAAATGTGGCAAGAGCGATACAGACACACTTTGGGAGGCTGAGGCGGGCAGATCACCTCAGGTCAGGAGTTTGAGACTAGCCTGGCCAACATGATGAAAACTTGTCTCTACTAAAAACACAAAAAATTAGCTGGACATAGTGGCGCATGCCTGTAGTCAGGAGGCTGAGGCAGCAGCATCGCTTGAACGTGGAAGGTAGAGGTTGCAATGAGCTGAGATCGCGCCACTGCACTCCAGCCTGGGTGACAGAGTGAGATTCTGTCTCAAAAAAAACAAAAAAGTGATACAGACAATGAACACCAGCCAAAGGCTCAAAGAGTTATAGATACGAACCTCAGGCCAAGTGAGCACAGATACACATGCACACCTACTCACACAACACACACCCCAGAGAGTATAAACGCATATGAACCTCAGGCCAAGCAAGCACAGACGCACATGCACACCTACTTACACAACACACACCCCAGAGAGTATAAATGCATGAAACCAAGTCAGAAAAATCTCTTTAAAAAAGAAGGAGAAAAAAGCTGTCAAAGAAATAAGAAGTATCTTCTGAAGAGGAACTATCATTAGAAACACAAAAGCCAGAAGTATAAAATAGCAAAGTTTGGAAGCACTGAAAGAAAATATTGGCAATTTAAAACTCAAAACCCAATGAAACCAACCTGCAGGAATGAAGACAGCCTTTCTTCCTTCAAGTTCAAATGGAAAGCTGTTCTGCAGGACTGGAGAATACCTGCACCTGCCTGGGTGGCAGGGATTAGGGACGCCATAGTAGCAGAGACAGGAGACTAAGTTACGCCCTGCGGAATTCCGGCAGGTAAATACACTGAGATCACGGGGGCTGGGTTTCTCATCATCTGAGAAGGATATGGATGAGGAGAGCACTAAAATGAACCTTGTTGTGTTGCACTGGAACTGGAGACACTGGTGTGTATTCATGGTTTTCAACAAATAGAGAGAAACACAGAAACAAGTATAGATGTATCTGAATGAACAGGAATCTGCGAGTCCATAGTGATATATGGAGATCAGTGAATAAATAAATGGGGAGAAGGGAAAATATTTGCTTCTAGCAGGACACTACCTGGTCATATAGAAAGAACGACAGAAACAGAAAATTATAATTTGACAATCATCATAGTAATAATTTAGCCAAGAAAAATCAACGGATGCTAAAACTACTGAGTGAAAGTTTGATGAGGAAGAGGACATTTACATATTCTCAAAGTACTTCCCCTCAAAATACTAAATAATAAGAGTAAAAGATAACTTTATAGCGAAGACACCACCTTAACAAGTAACAAAGGTAACAAAAACAGTGGTGGGACAAATGGGAACCATATGCCAAATATCCCTCAAAACCAAATTGAGGGATATTCAGCAAGGTAACCGTTCTGTAGTCTTCAAAAATGTCAAGGTCTTGAATGCCAAGAAAAGCCTGAGGAACTGAACCAGATTCACAGAGACTAGCAGAGGAAACCATTCAATGCAAGCCATCACCCTGGATTGGCTATTCTTGCTCAGAAGAACACGGCTAGGATAAATGACTGCTCATGAAGAGGGCCTGTGGATCAGACAGCAGTAGCGTGTGACGCTCATTTCCTGACTCTGACAGCTGTACTGGGGTTGTGGAGAACATTCTTGTTTGTGAGAATTACACATTCAAGCCATGATTCTCAAACCGGGCACTATATATTGACAGGAGGACTCACTCAAACACATTTCTGGGCTCCATCCCCTGTGTGTCTAATCCAGGAGGCCCGGACTGAAACCTGAGAACTTGCATTCCCAACAGCAGCTCAAACGATCCTGATGCAGACACCACCTTCTGCGAACCGTCACATTCACGTGTTTGAAGATAACAGAGCATTATGTTAATAATTTACCTTAAATGACTCAGGAAAAGTTATTTTTCCTTTTCTTTTTTTTTTTAAGTTTGGAACGTTCCAATTGAGGAATTTTTAAGTTTGGAATGTTCCAAACTTAAAAAAATAAATAAAATAGGTAAAAATGATGATCAAATAAAGACCATTTTAAATAGTAAGTGTGAGAATTTATTATTCGCAAAAAATTCTTCAGGCAGAAGACCAAGGATGCTACATCCAGGCGCAGCGCCCAGGGAAGGGGCGGGTGGCCGTGGGGCAAATGCACAGGCAGAGCTGCCGAGCACAGCTCAGAACAGTGGCAAACGTCTGTGGGGCTAACACGTGTGGAGAATTAAGATGACAGAGATCATGCAAAACACGAGAGTGGGTAATTCCGCTCTGGAACTGGAAAGCTAATTGATCTTCAACATCATTAAACCAAAGATAAATATTTTAATTATCAGGTTAGTCACAAAAAGCTATTAAAATGATAACTAGTAGGGAAATAGGTGGGGGTAAATGGAATAAAGAAAAAAACTCAAATCAAAAAAGAAAAAAATACATAGAACAGGTAGAAAAAAATACATAACAGTAAGATAAGCTATTTACAAACAGTAATTGCATTAAATGTGAATAAATATTCCAAATATTCAGACTAATAAAAATTTTTTAAATAACTGCAAATTACAAGGTAACCACATTGAATATAAAGACATAGAAAGGTTGAAATTAAAGGACATAGAAAAAGTTACATCATGCATATACTAACCAAAAGAAAGTTTCAGATGCTACATAAATATTGAATAAACTTTACAATAAAAACCACCACTAAAGGTAAAGAGGAAAATATCATAATGAAAAGGGTGACTCTACTAACAATGCAATTCTAAATTTGTATGCATCTAATAACACGGCCCTAAAACAAAAAAGAAACAAAATCTGACAGAACAGAAAGGAGACAGAACGGAAAGGAGGCAGAACGGAAAGGAGGCAGAACGGAAAGGAGACAGAACGGAAAGGAGACAGAACGGAAAGGAGACAGAACGGAAAGGAGACAGAACGGAAAGGAGGCACAAATCTACAGAGCGGCAGACTTTAACACACCTCCCACAGGAGAGGAAGGCCTTCAGGCACGGGACTGAGATCGTGGCTGCTTCTGCCTTACTGGAGAAGGACTGAGGGCAGAGACTAAACCCAAGGAGACCGGAGGGGAAGCCGCCGTACAAGCTCAGGTGGGAATGATGGCAGCCTGGATGTCAACAGGAAGAAGTGAAGCCACTTGTGAAACAGACTCAACAGGACCTGGCCACGCACAAAAGCAGACACGGGGAACCAACACCAAGTGTGGGTTTTCTGGCCTACATAAGAGCAGCAAGCAAGGCACCAGTTACAGCAATGATGCCAGGGAAGCAAATCCACAGAGCCCCACTCAAAGAGGGAGAAATGGCACATGCACTCACACGTATACAAGGACAGAAGGAGGTGTGCACAGATTATTAACCGCCAGTGCCTCTGAGAGATATGTTTACGGTTTTATGTGTTTTCCCCAAATCCTCACACTGAATAAAACCACTTCCAAAACAATCCAAAAAATTTACTTAAAAGAAAATGCCAAGTACCTCGAGTAAGAAAGAAAGCAAGGGGATCTACTCAGACTTTCAGTGGGTTCTCCAGGCAATTTGCTGGTATCAACTCGGACAATCAGAGGAATGCAAAAAAATTTAGATTTCAACTCATCTACATGTTGAAGGCATAGCCTGGAGTTCTGATTTAATACAACTATTTCACATTTACCCGTAACAAACCACAGCCACCACTGCCACAGATAAGGATCGTGCTCTTCCCAGTCCACTGACATCGGGATTCGCAGCGCAGGCTGCAACTCACCCGCCGGTTCCCAACAAAACTTACACATGCCTCTAACCAATGGAATCTTGCCACAACAAATAACTCACTAAGAAGGTATGGCAATTGGATAAGAAGATCAATGACACAGTTGCCCCCACCAACTTCCACCCTCGCTGTCTGTCCCAAGCTCTGCCTGCCCTCCCTATGCCCTCCCATATGGCCTAAGGGCCTTCTGCAGGAATGGAACCCTCATTATTTACAGACAGAGTAAGACAAGACCAAAAGTAACGCCTGACAGTAAAGAAAGTGACATAATAGCTGATGAACAGAGTGTTCCCCTATCAAGATAACATGCCTGATGACGAACATCTCTGCTCTGGGGCTGCCATCTGAGGACTTCACCAGCTTCCCATACAGTAATACGGGGAAAAGGGAGAATTATTTCAATGAAAAAGAGGCTCCTTCACTGAAACAAACAAAACACAACAACAACAACAAAAACTCCTTTCTGGAGAAGTGACTACAGTGTCCCCAGGTGCTGCAGACTCAACCCCCAGCCAGCTTTCTCCATTTCCACAGTCTTACCGCTCTGAATTGACGCAAGACACGGTCAGACTGATAAGCTCCAATGGTGATTTCCGGGAGATAGACAGGAATGCTTGTGTACTTCAGCACATCAAACTTATCCTGAACCCTAAAAAAATAAGACACATGTGGATCACACCAAACCATCAAAATAAATACAATAAAAGCAGCTTAAGTCTGATTTTTTTTTAAACATCCATATAAAAAATCTGTGCATTCCAATAAATGCTGTTCGTTGCCAAGCAGTCATCCCAGAAGCAAAGCCTTCCTCCCAAAGACCACGTGGTCGATCTGGAGCTGCTTTTTAAAATTACTCTCAGAACCTCTGGTAGCATCTTTTAAAAGCCTCAGTACCTACAAATGATGACCTTCTGGGAACGGATGCCGTAGAAAAAGACATAGAAAAAGGAGACAAAGTATGCTTTAAACACAGGAATAGCAGGAATCAAAAGCTAGAAGCAAATGGTTATATGACAGTGCTACACACAAAGCATGCCCCCATTAACAATTTTCCAGATGAGTGGATCTTGGGGCAGGAACGGTGCGTAGCTTCAGTCTCTCTGCAGTTGCAGCCAGTGTCTTACAGATCTGTTCTGTACGCTGAGGCCGACATAGGATGGTCTGTCGTACCACGGCTTGTAAAAGGTTTAATTCTCCACTTTTCTTGGCACCAATAAATACACAAATCACAGGATAGTCTCTTAGCTTTATCATTTCATTGTGCTGAATGTTAAAATATTTATACTTTGTTACAATTTGCTTATTTTAAATTAAATATAGTCTGAATATAACCACTATACTTAAAGATAAAAAGCATTTCTTGAGCTTTCGGGGAAAAAAAAAAAAAAAACATTAAAATAAAGTCTCTTTTCTTAAGGGCTCAAAACAAAGAAAATAATTATTTTCAACAGCCACATTCCCATTACTGAGTTATAAAAGCAGGAGACGTTTCTCATTTGTAATGGTTCAAATGGAAATTATGTGAGTGTATCTGGCTCTCGGCCAGACTTTGTGAGACAGTCCAGGCCCACTAAGCAAACCCAACGCCTATTCCCCACAGTACCCAGGTAGGTTCTCCCACAAACAGAACAACCTGACCAGAACCCAAGGCTCACAGGAGCCATGAATCATGCTTCCACAGACAGCCAGAGAGCTGCGGATCTGTGGCAAGCTGAAGATGAGTGGACGGTAGGTATAGCATCAGCAGCATCCTAGTAAAAACTGTGTCACTCGTACATGGTTGGTGATCCAATAATGTAAACGTCCCCCCCTCCCAAGAAACTGCTGCCAGGATAACAACGATCGTTTGCTTTCCTAAGCGTATTTATGTGCGTTTCCACACGGGTAGGCACATGGCTGTAATGTACACACTTACAGATAAGATCATTTTCTTAGTTTTACTATTAAGTTGGTTTTACTTGCCAAAAGATACTCAAATTTTTTTTTAAAAAAGCAAGCGAAACAGAAAGCGTGTGAAGGGCATAAAGATGCCATATTTTGTAAGACTGCATTAATTGTAAGACTACAAGTTCCCTCTCCAGAGGAAACTGCTGCTAGCTTTCCTTATGCATTCTATCTAAACACTTCCATGCATGTGTCAATAATCTACAACTACGTATCTTCTTACTGTTAACTCAAATATAAGGATAACTTTTGAAGTGATCTCACAATAAGAAATTCCAACTAAAAATGAAGTTCATATTTTAAATGTTAACAAATATCAATGCAGGGAGGTGACATGGTTTTCTTTACAGTTTGAAAAACCTAAGAAAATGCTAGAAAATATGAAAGCAATCAGTGGCCTGGAGCATGTGTAGTAGAGAAAGCAACAGCGCCATCTATGCTTAGTTTGGCAACATTACATGTAGCCCCAGAAAATCTTTTAACAAGTACGCTTCCAACTATTTTTGAAGATTAAAAAAAGAATCTGCTGCAATGATTCTACAATTTATTTATACCCAACCAAACTACCCTTTCAATTTATTGCTATGAGCTTAATGACGACTACTAGAAAGAGTCTATGGTCTATCTCCAGTAAACTTCTAGATTTAAGTAATAAAGACACAAGGAATCATTTTATGACTCAGGAAGCAAAAGGCAGTGAAAGAAAATATTCTCTTCACAAAGCACTTAGTTTCATTATGAAGAATTCAAAACTGATTGAGGATAACGTATCCTTTTAATATCATAAGTCAGTGTCTAAAGAAGAAGATAAAATATACTAGAGCTTGGTTACGATATGAGGTGTTCTGTCACATGTTTTAAAACAAAAGAGTAAGGCAGGAAGACACAAAAAGGAATAAAATTGTAAATTGTGTTTTATGACTCAAGCTGTTTCGCAATTAACAGAATGTCAGCACTTTGTCCTATAACATTTCCAAACCCTATTTTTCAGTTTCTCCTGAATTGCAAAGTTCTATCTGAAACACTGTACTTCTGATACCAAACTCACATGCTACAGTTTCTGTAGCACTGAAATTTCATGTTAAAAAGATGTGCTCCAGGAGTCATGTAAAATTCTTAGCAATCAAGCAAAAGAGGGTGGGTGTGAAGCTCTGGGCTCTGGAGAGGCAGCGATGGTCTGCGAGGAGCCCGCACAGCTGGAGGCCTGACGTGTCGTCGGAGGTCCTGACTGGACCGAAACCAGCCCAGGCAGGCGCCAGTCAGTTAGGGATGTGGATATGAATAAGACTGAAAAATACAATTACTGCCTCTCAGCACAAGCATAGCTATACACATACACATAATTAGACACTGGCAACACGTAACTGAGATGGTGCAGAAATGTTCTAAACCAATAATTTGGTCAGGTTCTGGATAAAATGAATGTCACTGGTAAATGGCATGTTTACAATAATTATGTTAGAAAATTGGTCATAATTATCACTTGAGTCCCTCAATTGACAAATGGTACTCAAATGAAAATAAACACAATTGATATTGTAAACTTACGAAACATCTTTGGGGAGGAAGAAAGGCAAAATATCAGGAGAAAAAAGGACAAAACCATTCATAGTGAGCTAGATGAAAACAACTGAATGCTGTAATTGATACACTACGGGGGAATTACAGGATCCTTCTCTATGCTCTGATAAGTGCATAACTAAATAACTACACAAACGGTGCAGAATCGAATCAACACACATTTCACACCGTGTTTAGAAAATGACACTGTTACCACAGAGAGGTCAAGTCAGACAAAATCCCTTGTCTCGGTAAGTTTGTGAGATGTCATATGATGCCCAGCAGTAGCTAATACTAACAAACAAGGATACCATATACATTCACATACGTAACAGTCTACAAGAGTTAAGGGAAAGTGTCAGGGAGAAAACACGGTGATTACGGCCAAGCTTTAAAGACCGCTAGGATTTCTAGGTGATTACTGGGCAGGTGGTGGTGGAAGAAAAGCCTAGGAGATTACCTGGTATCCCGGCAGAAGACGCAGAACCAGGGCAGACTGGGATTCTGAATTAATTCTGGGAAAGGAAATTCGGATCTATGACTAAACGAAGATAGGCCACGCAAAGATTCAAGTAAAGAGAAAACGGGGTCACTGTGACTTTTTAAAAAAATAAACCTGGTGGGAGTGGGATGAAGAAATAAAGAGGCAGAGGAACAGAGACCAAGAACCAGGGGATTACACCCCAAGGGGAGCAGAAGTGTTAGAGACATGGGAGAGAAATCACTGAAAGTGGCACACTGACCTGCAGGGTGTGACTTAGGGGAGGATTAGGATAAGGGGGTCAGCAGGGAAAAAGGAGGCTTCAAGCTAGGATTATGGTTGACGGAGGAGTCGAAGCTTCCACCAGGATTCAAGCCTGACCAGACGGCAGGAGGGAAGGCAAGACGGCCCAGGGCACAGGACGCGCACAGAGGATGCAGAGAGCAGCAGCTCCAGCTCCTGCAGCCCGAGAGGTCAGACGTCCCACACACAGTCATGCAACCTTGACACGCTCGAGCTCTCCGAGCTGTGGTCTCCTCCTTGTAAAATGAGGGAGTCCCGCCCCACAGGAGTGCTGTGGGACAAATTATTTCCAAAACACCTTCCAGACGCTCTGTTGACATCTACTGTTAACTATGAGATTTCAGATGTAACAGCAGAACACAGTTCAGCGGGGTCCCATCCCCAACCTCCGGGCCACAAACCTCTGCCTGTAAGGAACCTGGCCACGCAGCAGGAGGTGAGCGGCAGCTGAGTGAGCAAGCCAGCGAAGCTTCATCTGTATTTATAGCCGATTCCCCTCGCTCGCATTACTGCCTGAGCTCTGCCTGCTGTCAGACCAGGGTGCCATGAGATTCTCACGGGAGCACAAACCCTATTGTGAACTGTGCATACAAAGGATCTAAGTTGTGCGCTCCTTACGAGAATCCAATGCCTGATGATCTCTCACTGTCTCCCATCACCCCCAGATGGGACCGTCTGGTTGTAGGAAAACAAGCTGGGGCTCCCACTGATTCTACATCATGGTGAGTTGTATAATTATTTCATTATATATAACAATGTAATAATAAGAGAAATAAAGTGCACAATAAATGTAATGCACTTGAATCATCCTGAAACCATCCCCCCACCCCCGCTCCAGTCTGTGAAAAAACTGTCTTCCATGAAATGAAACTGGTCCCTGGTGCCAAAAAGGTTGGGGATTGCTGCAATAGAGCAGTTAAAAGAGAAGATGGAGTTTTTTTAAAGCAAAGTTTTGAATAATAGAGTATATCATTTAGGCAAATTTACAAACACACATACAAATATAGGCATCTAGTCCAAAATGTTACCAGTTTTAAAAAACAAAGACGGAACTTCCAGCTTCAGCTCCAAATGGTGAAGGCTGGAAGCTGTAACTTCCATCCTTCCAATAAGAAAAAACTGAAAATCAATGGCCTTTCTTGGACTAACAACAACAACAACGAATTGAGTGATTTTACAGCTTACAAAAAGTGGAAGAGTCCGAGTGCAGTGACTCACGTCTGTAATCCCAGCACTTTGGGAAGCTGAGGCAGGCGGATCACTTGAGGTTAGGAGTTTGTGACCAGCTGGCCAAAACGGCAAAACCCCATCCGTAATAAAAATACAAAAATGAGCCAGGTATGGTGGTGCACGCCTGTAGT